TACGAAAAGGAGGGTTAGGTTCCAAAAATTAAAAAACATGCTATTATATTTTCATAATTAAGATAAATATCTTTATTAAAATTTTCTTAAGTGATACATATTAATATAAATTAAACAATGTTTTCTTCATCATCACTAAAAGCACTATTAACCGAGAGCATTTTCTTTTTGGCAAGTTATCCTTATTCTCTGAGCATTTTTCTGCATTATCTTCAGATTCATGCTTTACCTTTTGCAAAAAGTATGTAATTTTAGATTGCTTGCTTCTAGTTAAAAGATCTTTATTAATTTCCTTATATGGTGCAAAGCACTTATGGAATAAGGGGAAAACATCTGGTAACATCAGAAGTAGAAGCGTTGAGATCTGGCAAAATTGAAACAAGTTTCGAGAAGGAGCATGTGTATGGACAAAAGGCGAGAAAAGAAAATTTACATACTGAAGTACTAACAGTTCACGAAAATAATAATTTTCGTGAACTATTAGTACTTAAGTATGTAAAAATTTATTACATTTCATGTTGTACAAGGGTTTTACCCATTTCTCGAACCATGTCATAGTGAATCCATGCTATAGAAGTGCCATGTTATACAAGAGTTACCTGTACTATATATTACAAATGAATAAACTTTAAAAATTTTATTAAACCACTATCTTAATAACACTTTTCATTAGAGAACAATGTTTTATTTAGAGTTTGCAATATGAAACATATTGCAAACTCTAAATATTCATATTTAAACTCTAAATAATTTAGGGCTCATTTTCAGGGTTCAAACAAGGTAAGAAAATAATATACATATTAAAATCATAAGAACAAGGAAAATTATATACTTCAAAAATTATACTTCCATTCTGTTCACATTTCAACATTCTTATATCAATGATAAAAAGCAAGAAATGAAAACAAACTAACAGAGGAGGATAGTTATTTAATAAATCAAATAAAGTAAAATATTAATACAATAGAGCGTCGATTATCTGAAAGTCAATTATCTGAAATTCAATTATCCAAAAGAATTCCAGTCAGCAAATTTAAATTTTCGTCAGTGCTGCGGCACTGCAATCTTTGCCTGTGTCTTGGGCTACTCAAATATTTTACGTTTTTGATACTAAATTAACTTCTGAAGTATAATTTTTTATTGTTTTTATATTTTTCAATATATTTATTTTGTTTNTCAATGAGTAGTAGTTTCTAATATTAAGTTGACAATATTTTTTTTAATAAAATTTCTTTAATTAACTTTAAAAATCAAAATGGGATAAACAAATCACAGCAGGAAACACACAATGTAAGAAAATACCACCACAATATTCCAGCAAAGTGTTGAATCAAAATAACGGTTTTTGATTACACTGGTAATCAGAAACTTTTTGAGATTTTTTAGAAGTGTCATAGTTGAATTCCATATTAAACTATGAATAAATGCTTAGATTTTATTATGAATGAGGCTATTTAATTAATAATTTTATTCTATTTCATCCTTTTTGTTGACCTTCATCAGGAGATATAAACATTTTATAATTTAAAAGAGAGACTAAAGCCACTCATATTCTAAAATGGTTTTATAACATTCCATTTTTGAAATAAGACAAATTTTTAAAAATGCATGTGTTGGATTTTTTCCCATATTGAATTGAATATTGCATGATATGTGACAAAAACAAAATATATAAAACATACTTTATATATGACTAGCAGACCCCATCACGCGTTGTTGTGGCTCAAAATGTATCTATTATAAATGTATAACATTTCCCCCGTGGGGAGAATTTTTCGAAAAATTCCTTAGTGTACATTTTCTTGACGTGCCCTATTAAAATGCAATCAAAAACGCAAAAAACTGCATCTGAAATAGTATAATAGAAGCCAAGTTCTTCACGGTAAGCCTTAATCCTGTTCCTCTCCCCCGCGGGGGGAATATCGAAAAATCCCTTTGTAGTGTATATTCTGTTGACGTACCCTATTAAAACGCAATCAAAAATGCAAAAAACCGCATCTAAAATAGTATAAATAGAAGCAGAGTACTTTACAGTAAGCCTTAATCCTGTCCATCTCCCCCAGGGGGATTTCGACATGTATATTACATAAAAACATGTGCGTATTCGAATGCAGCGTTGTGTCAAAATTTCAAAGGAATCGGTAGAAACAAACGAACATTACATTTTTATTTATATAGATAGATAGATAGATAGAAGATGATCTGCTTTACTTCATTTTCACAGAAAAGCATAATGCCTCACAGAAAAGCAAACTTAGGGCATTGTACTCGTAGTGCCATTTGTTGGACATAAAAGCCTTAACCTAGATTATATATTTTAATTTATATGAATGTTTAATGGAATAATATACAGCCTATGTCCACCCTGCGGTTCCATTCTAAATATTGGTGAAAGAATTTTTGAAATTGGATGAGTAGTTTCAGAGATTACCTGCTGCAAACAAACTTACAAACATTACCTCTTTATAATATTAGTATAGATATAAACCATGCATAAAAACACTCTAAATTATACTTTCCATGTTTTATTCCAGTATCTTCAGAATTAATCACTACTGTGTAATCTAACTCCTGTCTATCCTTCTGCATCCTCATACACAGCATGCCTTTAAGGTTTATTTAGCAATACTTTCCAGGCTGGTGAAATCATTGTTTTCTCTATAATATATCATCTGACCCCTTTTTGTACCCTCATGAATGTACCATGCTTCTGCACATTTAATCTGTCTGTTATCCTGAACCTTTGGATCATTTCTACTTGGTAGATTGAAACTGAGCAGAAATGATCCAAAAAGTTTAGAATTTTGAAACTGGAGTTCATTAATTTTCTACAAATTTTTAAAATCATAGAAAACCTTTGGAAAATTAACAGTTTTGATTTTCAAAATTCTGAACCATGTATTAATAGAAGAATTAAATAGGATTTTAATGCAAAAAACTCTTTGGTTCTATTTACTTCTATTTTCAAGAATTTTTGGAAAAAATTTTCCCATAGAAATATGTTGAACCATATGCATAACCAGAAGTTACAATCAGCCTTAACATTCTATTTATACTAGAACATTAAATATGTGTATATAGTAGAGTAAAATATTGCACTAGAATGTTCAGTTCATGTACATTAACTGAACAATTTATAATGAGAAATTTCTGAAAATAATATAGGCAAATGACTTAATTCATATATCTTAATGCCATTATTTTACCACAAGTCAGAAATAAAAACATCTACTTTTTATTTCATTTCTGATATTATTGCAAAATTTGTATCTTATTCTAAAGTACAGTACATAATAATCAAAGAAGTATACAAGTCAACTGATTAACTGAAAGATTTCACATACAGTTGAGATGATATGGTAAAAAGTTGAAAGTAAAAAATCTTATTTTTTATGACATAACAAAAAATGATTCAAATAACTATTCTAACTTATTAAAATAAATGAATTAATAGCAATTCAATACTTTCAAACAGATGTAAAAACTCAAAACAAGTAAAAAATATTTAATTCAAATATTTTCACTTGTGGCATTGCAAGCTTCTTTAAGAATGAAAAAATGGAACGAAACTTTTTAAAATTTTAATAAAACATTTTTTTTTACAGAGATAAAAGGAGTAGAAGGAAATTAATAAAAATAATTATGTATAAAAACATGAATAAGAAAATAAATAAATAAGTCACCCACCAACTCATAACTTTCACCTATATGTTTTACAAGTATTCTCTGCATCTGCATACAAACATAGCACTTTGTAACTTATTTTTTATCATTTGTGTTTTTATTATTTACTTTTTATTTTATTTTATTTTTCCTGTTTATGTATTTTTATGTAGTAATTTTTATTAATTTCCTGTTATTTCCATTATCTCCATAAAATGTTCCATTAAGATTTAAAAATGCTTTGTTTTATTTTTTATTTTTTGTTCCTGAAGAGGCTTGAAATGCCACAAGCAAAAGTACTTGAATTAAATATTTTTTTGTTTTTTATTTGTTTTGTCTGAGTTTTTAATAACTCAAAGTATTGAATCTATACTTAATGATTGTTGTGTATGCCTCCATTAATTTTCTTAATTAATAGGGTGTGGACATTGTAAAAAAGCAAAACCTGAATTCCAGGCTGCAGCTGCTAAATTTAAAGATGATCCAAAGGTAATTGAATATTTTTTTGAATGTATTATGGAATAAAAATTCTTTTTACATATTGTTATGTTTCAGGTGGAATTTTCTGCAGTTGATTGCACTGTTTATACTACAATATGCAATAATAATGATGTCAGAGGATATCCAACAATAAAATACTTCAATTATTATAAAAATTCAAAATTATATGATGGTGGAAGAACTGTAAGTAAATATATTTTTTTCAAATATTTTCATTGGTATTTGAAACTTAGAATTTTCATTAAAATATTTTAAATAATATTTTAATTAAAAATAACTGTAAATTGTTTTATTAATATGTTTGCTACCAAATTAATTAATTGTAAATATTTGTCAACATCAGATATTTTAATACAATACAATATTTTCTAGTATTTTCACTATGTGTTTGTTACATTTAATAACTCCAGGAAAAACAATAATGTATTTAATAAAAATTTATATATTTCATTATAATTTATATCATTATAAAATATCAGTTTTGTCAATAAACAGACTTAATATAAAAAAACAGACATGCGCATCATATTTTAGTAATTATAAAGTGAATAGCATAAAATCCAAGAATTATTACATACTAATAATGATTCACTATATTATGTAATTGCATCCTTATCTACTAGTATGTATTTTGCATCTGAATAAAAATTTTTCTATTTTTCATATACCTGCATATGTAGATCTCTCCATAACTCAAACTGGTCATTTTTTGGTTCCTTCAAATTTGAGATTTATAGGTTTTAATGTTTAATGGACAGTAAACACAATATATGTATAACAATAACTAATATATTCATGTTTCACTACCATTTGGATTCACATCACTTCAAAAACTAAAAAACTTCTGCAGAGCTGCTCAATCCAGATAATCATTTTAACTTTAATTTTAAAATAAGGTTAAAAGCAATTAATAATGAATAAAATAAAGTAACACTACATCAACTGCTGTTTAACATTGGACTATTTATTAGTGATAATAATTATAAATTACTAATAAACTTGGCCCTAGAGGGAGGTATTACACACCATCTCATATTAAATTTAATAATTATATACAATTTCATGGTGAATTCAGGATATATTTTTCTTCCAATTAGAAGTTCAGACTATTTACAAAAAATTTATTATTGAGTCTATCTATTAATCCATTAACACAACCACAGAAGTACCTGTAACATTGGTTTGAAGAAAAACTTCAATAAAAACAAATAAAAAATAGGTAAAAACCCACAAATTAAAAATGATCAAAACGTCAGACTTTTATTTGAGGTTAATAATTATAATTTAATTAAATAATTTTAGATTAAACTGGAATTTAATTTTAACAAACTTTGGCACCATCTCATATTAAATTAAATTTAATATAAGATGGTGCCTAATGCCTCCCTCTAGGGTCAAATTTATTAGTAATTTATAATTATCACCAATAAATAGCCCAATGTTATATGGCAATTGATTTAGTGTTATTGTAATGTATCAGGTTTTGTAAGATGTTTATATTTATAAAATAAATAAAGATTAAGAATAAAAGTAAAATTAAGTCCTTAAAATGATTATAACACTTCCTCAGCATGATTTTTGGTTTCTTTGAAGATGGTTGGTTACCTGCATTTTCATGAATCTTTATTTAAAATATCAGTTAATTAATTAAAATATTAAATGTTAGTTTGAAGTTCGGTATATCTGAGCATCATTGCTGTATTGTATTATGTTATATACAGACAGTATCTGGTTAAAATATGTAAGTCTATGCATGATGTTTAAAATTGTATTCAATTATTATCATCATTTTTATGTTCAACTTATGATGAAAATCTATTGTAAGTCAAAGGCTGTTTGAAATTTGCTGTCAACTATATTAATATCCATCTTGGAATTCTAATATCATTTCACCAATAATAGACATTATTCTGGACATTCTACATTTTCAGAAAACAAAATCAACATGTAAATAAAATTTTGTATTTATTATACTATGCTTTAAACTTTATCCAGAAAATGACATTCTTTAGTTATTTTAAGAAGAAAGTAATAAGCATGCCAGTGAAGTCATTAAACAACAATAATATTGTCAATTACCCATAAAGACTTTGCAACTGCTTTGCCCATATAATTAATTAACTTCTTCATGATCTCTTTCAAGTGCACATCAATATAAGTCTGTGTGGATTATCTACAAATATAGGAAAAGCAAACTATTTGTATGAGGAAAGTATAGACAGTAGTATAAAAATAGAAAATGTAGAATTTATAACATGTGGTCATTACAGTTATTCAGGAGTAGAATTAAGCTAAGATGGGAGTGCTAATTGAACAATAGTATAAAGTTATAAACTCTGACCTTCTATCTAATTTATTAGTAAGTTAAAATCCAAAAATTAACAAAATAAGACTTACTAGAAATGTGAATGTTAAATTTCATTTCTAGTTAGTTCATTTTTAGTTAGTCTATTAAATTTCATTTTTAGTTAATCTAATTATAAACTAAAAATAGTTGGTTTATAATTAGCAAGTTTTCATTAGTAAAGTTTAATTAACACTAATGCATTAAGTGATACAACAATAAATGTAGGGAAAAAGTTACTTAGTTCTGAACAAAATTACTAGTTATTTCAAACAACAATATATTTATAATAATGCTCAATATTTGTTTTGGTCCACCTGGCTACTTCTTCTTCTATCCAGCTAGTAAAAATTTCTGGGGAGAACACTGCAAATTTTTAAAAAAGTTTTGATGCAGTTGAAGAAGCAATATGTTGCAGATGAAAAAGATGTATAAAGAATGCAAAATAGATCTGTCATAAACAAATGTATTAATACAAGTACTGTTTTATCAGTTATTATTGTTATTTTATTTTTAAAAGGAAAAGATCTTTTAAGTATATGAACAACTTTACAATATTTATTTTCTTTATTATAAACTTAAGTATTTATTATAATGTATTTCTCTTGCTTAATTTTATTATAACAACTTATTACTATTTACATTTAAAATTTTCTTTCAGGAAAATGATTTTGTAACATTTATGAATAATCCTCAAAATCCAGTATCTAGTTCTTTGCCATCTGAAACATCACCAGAACAATGGTGGGCTGAAATTGATGGTGCTGATAATCTTAATCACCTGACTGCATCCAATTTTGATAATTTTATTAATCAACATACTTCAGTCTTAATAATGTTTTATGCACCATGTAAGATTTATATATAATGATCTTTTAAAATAATTTTTAAATTTTGGAACATAAAATAATTTTCTTTACTTAGGGTGTGGACATTGTAAAGCAATGAAACCTGCATTTGCTCAAGCTGCTTTAATCCTGAAAAATGAACAGGTATTTCTAACTATAAATAAAATAATATACAGGTAACCCCGTATAACATGGTAATTACATTCCAAAAAATTGCCATGTTATGCGAATCTCTGTTATATGAAACAAAGAACTAATATGAAAAGGAGGGTTAGGTTCCAAAAATTAAAAAACATGCTATTATATTTTCATAATTAAGATAAATATCTTTATTAAAATTTTCTTAAGTGATACATATTAATATAAATTAAACAATGTTTTCTTCATCATCACTAAAAGCACTATTAACCGAGAGCATTTTCTTTTTGGCAAGTTATCCTTATTCTCTGAGCATTTTTCTGCATTATCTTCAGATTCATGCTTTACCTTTTGCAAAAAGTATGTAATTTTAGATTGCTTGCTTCTAGTTAAAAGATCTTTATAAATTTCCTTATATGGTGCTAAGCACTTATGGA